ATGTACATTAAAAAAAATCACTGACTTGTCAAGCCCTGCCAGGGGCCGACAGAGCCCAGCAGCCAGGCAGCCCGAGCTGCTGAAATGTCTGTTCTTTGCTTCCCTCCCACTCCTACCACCCCCGGCTCCCCTCCTACTCCCTTCCGTTGAGAACAAGGAATTTCCAGTCTTTAGCAAACGGAGAGACAAAGAGACAGGCTAAGACTATGAGAAGCAGTAGAAAAACAAAGCTAAGGGCCAGGGGGTGGGGGAGATGACAGAAGGTGTAGGACAAACACAAGCATCTTCATTTCTTCGGTTTCTCAATGGGATGCATTTCCCCCGAGGGGGCTCAGGACCACTTCCCTCCCCAGCTCACCTGCTCCCCGAACCCCGCCTCAGGAGCTCTCAAGAGGCGAGCAGAGCTATTATCGATTTAATTAATTGTCTATACATAATTTATTAATAATCATCTAGTTATTTATTCATCATTCCCAGGCATATGTAGATTTTCTTCTGGCAGATTGCGCTGCCCACTTCCCCCTCCCCCCAGGGTTTCGCTGGGCCAAATCAAGCTCACTCAGCGAGGCCGGGCTCAAATGCCACCTTCCTGGACCCTCTCTTCTTGCACCCACTCTAGGCAGAATTAATTCCTGCCATTCCTTAGTGGCCTCCTGGCTCTCTGTTCACATTTCAGTTATAGTTGCCTGCTTCATCCTCAGCCTAGGACATCCTCTGGGTAGGTCTGGCATCTGGTAGGCCCTCCGAAATGAATGGGTTGAGACAGTATTTCTAGGTATGACTGATTTTGAAAAGGGCAGCTGACACAGATTTTACCCCAAAAGGAGCTGAATCTGGGCCAGACTGTTTAAGTGGGAGCTATGTGTTTTCCATGTCTCCTTCCTTATTTCCAGTGAGTGTCACAAGTCTGGCTCCTTGATTTTCTAAAATGTCCACTATTCTGGTGAATTAATTCATGCCCAGCTGCTAAAGGTAGACGATTGGAATCCTTGCTGGTAATAGAAAGATACAAAGTAGTGATGCTCCTTTTTTCCTCTTTCATTAACATGTTAAAATTGTAATTTAAGGAATGTTGTCCTTCAATTTAGTCATCTTATAAGAGATGCTTCATCCCTCAGATAAAGAGACTACCTTTAAGGAGTTCATAGACTAGTAGGGAAGATGTATAGACAAATAATTACAGTGTAGAGCTATAATAGGGGCACAAACAATGATAGAAAGATAGGGTGCAAGTGATCTCTTCTGTCTGGGGTTGTGAGGCACAGGTTTCGGCAGGCCTCCAAAGGAGGTGATTTTGCAGCCTAGGATTTTGAATTCTGAATAGATTTCTAGGAGGAAGAGACCGTCAAGTCAGAGACAGCAGGATGTAAACTTACGTGGAGGTATGAAACAGAATGATATGTTTGAGAAACTAAAAAAGTATTCACTATTTCTGGATGGGGGGGTGGAGGTAAAAAAAAAAACCAAACAAACGGGGAACCCATGGAAGTGTGCAAGGCCATTTCATGAAGATTATAGACTAGGGCTTCCCAAACTATGGTAATGGATCCGTTTTTTAAAATTTCAGTTTGGTGTGGCTCAGTGGATTGAGCGCTGGCTTGCAAACCAAAGGGTCACCGGTTTGATTCTCAGTCAGGGCACTTGTCTGGGTTGCAGGCCAGGTTCCCAATAGGGGGTGTGCAAGAGGCAACCACACATTGATGTTTCTCTCCCTCCCTTTTCTTCTCTCTAAAGATAAAGAAAGAAAATCTTTTAAAAAATAAATGAAAATGCCAATCTATTATTTATTTATTTATTGTTGTCTTAGTCACTACTATTACATTTAAAATGAGTTATTAGAAAAATGAAGTGAAATCCCCATTTTATTAGATGCAATAAATATAAAATTTCTGTCAAATCACTATAAAAATTTCTAAATGCTTATATTTAATTTTGAAATTGTTTTATTACAGATTGGTAACACACTTTGAATAGCACTACTGTAGTTGTATCTTCACATCTACCTTTTGGATCATACTAAGGACCCTGGACTTCATCACAGAAGATGCTGCGGGACCATAAAGACTTTGTAATAAGGGAATTACAAGTTCAGATCTGCATTTAGGAGTCGTGTGGAGGAAGGCTTTTACGGCTGCAAAAACAGCAGGGAGGTCAGCTTGGAGGAAATTAAAGTGGTTTAAGTGAGAGATCGCAAGGTGCTGGACTTGACATAGAAGAGAGGACAGATTTCAAAAGATTCAAATCAGTAAGACAGAGTAAATGAGTGGCTGAGGGGTTGGGGAAAGAGAAAAAGGGTTAGGGTGACTCGGGCTTCTGGCTTGGACGATGGAGTAAACAGAATGGAATGCTCCTCAAAACGTTTGGAATTGTCTTCACCAATTATTCATTGTTTGCAATCCTTTTCCTGACTTAAAAAATTATGAAAACCAAACTCACTTGATGACAAAACCTAATTTGACCTGAACTTACTTTGACAAACCTGACCTAAACTTAGATGAGGTTATTTATAGGTTTTGTTTATCACACTCAGGTTTATCACAGTGTGAATATTAATATATCTCATTGCAGAAATATTAATTTCTTCGATTACAGGATACTGTCCTAGATCCCATTGGAATTGTTTTTTATATTGTATATGCACCATACTACCTTTCTAAAATTCAAAAAATTTTGGAACACATTTGCTACCCAGATTTCCCACCCCATTTACTCATCAGTTTGAGTTTGAGTTTTTTTGGTTATTTGCATAAATCAAATCCACCTGCAGATAATGAATATTCATCTCAATGTATGCTATAGACTCTGAAGATGATTCCCAAAGTGTTTTGAGCAGTGTCTTAATTATTAAAACAATGCTAAAAACATCTTGAGTGATTACCGTGAAGTGAGAGAATTCATTTGGATGGCAAGGGGTGCTGTGTTTATGGAAAACCAGTCACATTGTTGTACACTTCATTTTTACATTTTAGCAGTCAGTGGTCAGTGATCTTCTGGAATTGGTTCCCAAACTTGAAATAAGTGCCCCAGTTCCCTGGCCTTTAGTCAAAACCAAAGCATGAGCTCTGAATGGTGAGAATTTGGGAACTGGTAGAAAATGAAGAGTGTGTGTATATATACACAAATTATTTTAAAAACGACTTTTAGATTTACAAAAAAATTGAGAAGGTAATACAGAGAGTTTCCATATACTCCATGCCCAGTCTTTGCTATTATTTTATTAGTGTGATATATTTGTCACTATTAATGAATCAGTATTGATATATTGTCATTAACTAAAAATCTGTAGTTTATTCAAATTTCCTTAGTTTTTACTACTTTTTTTTTCTGTTTCAGGGTCCCATACATAATACCAAATTACATTTGGTTCTCATGTCTCCTTAGGCTCCTCTTGGCTGTTACAGTTTCCAAGATTTTCCTTGTTTTTTCCTCAGGTATAATTTTTAAGGCTTTATTTATTTTTTACAGAGGCGGGAAGGGAGGGAGAAAGAGAAGAAGCAAAGATCAATTGGTTGCCTCTTGGCCCCTCCCAATCAGGGACCAGGCACATGTCCTGACTGGGAGTCTTGTGGCTATATTAGTTTTATAGGTTTGAGGAAGGAAAACCACAAAGATAAAAATGCTATTTTCATCCCATGCTATCAAGGCTATATACTATCAGTGTGATTTATTACTGTTGATATTGACCTCTTTAGATCAGCCAAGGCTGTGTGTGTGTGTGTGTGTGTGTGTGTGTGAGAGAGAGAGAGAGAGAGAGAGAGAGACATAGGATGACCATTGTCTCAAGGGTGGCCTAAACTTTATGAGGATAAAATTTCTTGTTTTATCCATGGCTCACCCCATTTTGACTTTAAACAATTCTTTATTCCTGTCCTGACCAGTGTGGCTTAGGTGTTTGGGCATTGTCCCACAAACTGAAAGGTCACCAGTTGGATTCCCAGTCAGGGCACATGCCTGGGCTGCAGGTTCTGTCGCATAGGAGAAGCAACCAACCCAATTGAGGTTTCTCTGGCATCGATGTTGCCCTCCCTCTCTTTCTCCTTTCCTTCCCCCCTCTCTAAAAAATAATTTTTAAAAATTCCTTGTTTCTGAAAGATAGAACCTTCTCCAGCAGTTACCTCCTTCCCTGAATTTCTCAACTCATTAGATTCCATCATGGCCAGAGTTCCTACCCACCACTAGCAGATCCTCTTACAAAATAAGATGTTTCAACTTCTACTAACATTTACCAAACACCTGTTACATACCAGGCACTCTGCTAGGCCTGCACTGTGTGAAACCATTTAATGGGAAGCAGCTTGATGCATGGAAAGATCTCAGGCTTTGTTGTGGTAAGACTTGGATTGGAACCACAGCCCAACCCAACTAACTATGCAGTCTTGGTCAGTTTCTTTTGCCTCTCTTAGCCTTGGTTTCCGAAGTGCAGATAATATTTGTTTCACAAGATATCACCAGGAATAAAAAAACTCCCTTAATCCTCACATTCATTTCGCTTCCAAAATATTCCAATGACTACATTTTAAATAGTTTAGGGCTTACTTTAAAAAATTGTTCAGTCAGAACCTTTACTTATAAAGAGCTCTCAATGATAAGTTTTCCATAACAGAAAGATGCGATAAAAAGCAAACAAGGAAAACAGAATGAACTTGAGTGTCCATGGAAATACCACGTTTAGTCAAGGAGGCCTCGCCCATCCTGATTTTCTATTGGCTAAAATTACCATCAATCGCACCAGTTGTAAGTAAACTGGAGACGAAGCTTGTTGTTAGGGGGTGGAATCTTCCTGTCTCCATCACTAAGATAAGAGCGGTTTTGTAATAGGCTGAAACTGCTGCTCCCGCCCTCTCGCATCAGTAGCTAAGAGGCGGGATTTTAGGGTACACGGGGACTGCACGCATGAAGTTCCGCCCATCCAGCTGGTTGTTATCCGGGGAGGGTCTTGTAGCGGATAGGCTGGTGGCCCTGCCTGTTCGGGATTAGTTGTTGGAGAGGGACACGTGAGGGGGCGGTGTCTTGAGACGACTATGGCGGGAGGGATAAAAGTGGCGGTCTCTCCTGCAGTTGGTTCCGGGCCCTGGGTCTGGGGGGCCGGGTGCGGTGGGACAATGCGGCTTCTCCTGGTTTTCTCCGGATGCTTGGTCTGTGGCTCAGGTACCACCCGGGCAGCATCTACCAGGGGGCGGGTGCCGAGGGGGTCACATTTAGAAAAGTGGGGAGCGTCCCCGTGCGCGGCCAGCTAATTTGCGGAGTGGGCGCGGCTGTGCGGGACGAAGAAGGTTCATTGTCAGCGAATGAGCGTCGACCCTGAGGGGTCTCGGCCTGAGACGCCGTGGCGGAGCTGCCCAGAGTGGGGAGGAGCCGGGAGCCTTTGGTGGAGACGGGAGGGAGGCCTGGACTGGGTGAGAAGCGGTGCTGGACTGCTTCGTGCTGTACCGACGTTGGGTTTCCTGGTTAAAAGGAAGGAGACCCGAGGATTCTTCGGGGCAGGCAGGGCTGCCACTGGAAAGGGGGCATCCCATTTACTCAGCAGATTAGGAACACCCTCTTAGTGTATGCTTCTCAGGACTTGGGGAGTGGGTGGCTGAAATGCAGTAATCTCTAGCTAGTATCTTCTGCTGTTCTAAGATCCTGGCCTTTCCAGCGCTGTAGAACGGACCTGGAGCCTGGAGTCCTTAACTTACCATTTCAGGAAAAGAAAAGAAAAAGATACAAGTGCCATTCAATAAAAACCGAATAGGTTTCCTTTGGGAATCAAACTTGATACGACTGGATAATTCGCTTTGGACTGTATTTAAACTTTTCCTTTCTCCTCTAATCCAGAAAACCTAGAGTGTTCGTAAGAACCTCGATCTACCCCTCTTGTTAAATGCACAACAGAAAAATGAGTGAGGTTTCCAAAGTCCACTGAAGGGAGTTGAAACTCACAGCGTTAAAAATAATCGTGTTTTGTAAACACATACTGTGCTTTGTTTGCTGCCTGTCTCATGTTGTCACTTATGATCATCCTTAGCTGCAACTTTAAGACCTCAGGATCCTTAGATCAAGTTCCAAAGTGAAGCATCCTTCTGAAACTTAAAATATATATATATTTATTTTTAGAGAGAGGGGAAGGGAGGGAGGGAGAGAGGGAGAGAAACATCAATGCGTGGTTGCTTTTCACCTGGCCCCCACGGGGATGTGCCCTGGCCAGGGATGTGCCCTGACTAGCTATCAAACTGGCGACCCTTTGGTTCGCAGCCCAAACTCAATCCCCTGAGCTACACCATCCACGGTGAAACCTTTTTTTTGTAAAGGAGAGGGAGTTAGAATCCAGGAAGGTGCTTTTCTAGAGTCAGGGCCTAGAGTAACATTTATTTAAAGAGCTATATGTGATGTGAATGAACTTGGGTCAGATGGTTAACCTCTAAAATGTGATTGTGAATTGTGAGGATAAAAGAGAAAACATATAGAAAAATGTTACATAGAGCTCAATCAGCAGTCTCTTAAGTTTCATTAGAGGAGAGAAACAGGTGTATCTGCTCTGAGAAGGATAAACTTGAAGGATGATATTTGTTCTGTGTGGTCTGATAGGTCATATGGGTGGAGACTGCAAAGTGACAGTTGCATGAAGAGGACCTTTCTGAGAGACAGAGTGGAGTGCCTCAAAGGGCAGGGAGGGAGTTCTTTCTCACTGGGAGTTTTTGGAAAATTTGATGATAATTTAAATTATCATCAAATAATGTGTATTTATTTTATACTACTTGGCAAGTACAATTAAGTATAAAGAAGTAGAAAACACCCTCACTATTCCATTCAGAGGCAGCCCTTTTTAGCACACTTCTGGTATTTTTCCATGTTTTTAACTTCAAAAAAATTTGTATTGATGATACATTCATATTCCTATCAGCAATCCAGTTCTCTTTGGTAGAGACCACCAGTGATTACCAGAGATAATTTTCTTATTGCATTTGGTAGCATAAGCATTTTCCTATGTCGTTTAAAGTTTTTTTTTTTTTGAAGATTTTATTTATTTAATTTTAGAGAGAGGAGAAGGGAGGGAAACATCAGTGGTTACCTCTCAAACTCCCCCAACCAGGGATCTGGCCTGCAACCCAGGCATGTGCCATGACTGAGAATCGAACCAGTGACCTTTCGGTTCACAGGCTGGCACTCAATCCACTGAGCCACACCAGCCAGGGCAAAAATTCTTCATAAATGTTTTTTTTTCTTCAGTGGACAGATCATTTATTTAATGTTTCTGAATTAAACATTTGGTTGTATATTTGTCGTGTTTCTACTGTTGGTTATCTTTGTGTGTAACTTTTATTGCATTCGGATTTTTCTTAAGGATAGATTTCTCAGAAATGGGTTCACTTCAATAGCTAAAATATATTTAAAGACCCTTGAAACATTTTGCTAAAATACTTTCCTGAAAAGGTGTGCCGGTTTATACCACTACCAGTATTTGCATGTGACCCTTGACAGCGTTAGATATTCCAGACTGTGACACCTTTGCTAATTTGATGGATCCAAAGTGGTATCTTAATGTCTTTGCATTTCTTGCACTATTTGTGAGGGAGCATCATTCAACTGTTTTTTAGCTATTTAATTTTCTATTTTGACTTATGAGTTTTTTGGAGTGTGTTTCTGTCCGTTTTCTTGGCATATTTATTGGGATTTTTGTGGACTTTAAAAATCAATCTGGATAAGCATTTTTGTATATTAAGGATATATATATGTGTGTGTGTGTGTGTATTTACAACCTATTTATTGCAGAACTTTGCTTGCCCCACCCCTTTTAAATAGAAGACATGTATTTTTATGTGGTCACTTAATTTTATTACTTAGATTTAGTTCCCTTTTATGCTTAATGAGTCCTTCAGAACTGAATTGATACTGTTTTTTTTTGTGTGGTATGACTTAATTTTTTTTTCATTTTACTTTTAATCTGTAATTAATGTTAGCCTTTGGTGTGAGGGGAGATTTTAATTTCCATATAACCAGTCAGTTGCGCCAGCATCCCATTGAATAATCTTGTGCTAAACCCATTGACTTAAGATGCTAGTTTTTAAGGAAGCTTTTAAGTATGAGTTGGATTACTTCTTACAGGAATTAATAAAGGGTATTTAAGAATTAGAAGTTGTTTTTCATAACATTAGGTTTTGTTCCAGTCCTCACATACTATGGGTCATTCTCATTACCTTCTACCTAGAGATGTTAATTGATCAGTGTTGTAGATTGAAGACTAAGTTCACAATTATCAAAAGTAAATATGAAGTTATTAACCTTTGAATAGCTGTTTTATGGGTAAATAAAGTAAGTTTTGATTCACTAAATTCCAAGGCCTTTTTATTTATTTTTTTCCGGCAAAGAAATGGGTCTTTGGGCTCAGAAAGCATTTTCCTGAATATTTAACTCATTGTGCTTTTTAACATGCTGGTTAACCTATTTTAGGAAGGAAAAAGAAGGTGGTATATGTCCTTTTGCTATGAGAAGCACAAGGTTCTAACATGAACATTTTGACAACTTGTGAATATTTAAGGTCATTTGGTTTAGTTCTGTGTTTCTAACCATTTAAGCTATAGCTGGAGTGGTGATTGTTTCCACAGATTGTTCTTTTAAGATGAATTAGTCTGTTTGATTTCTCAATGAATGTCCAAGATGTGGCTGGTCAAGGTGCCGATATGCGTAGGAGGGTGCTGTTAGAGAGGTTGTTGTTTTTTTTTAATTTTATTTTAAAATATTTTATTTATTTATCTTTAGAGGGGAGGGGAAGGAGAGAGGGAGAGAAGCATCAATGTATGGTTGCCTTTCGTGCGTCCCCTGCTGGGAACTGGCCTGCAACCCAGGCATGTGCCCTGACTGGGAATTGAACCGCGATTGTCTGGTTCGCAGGCCTGTGCTCAATCCGCTGAGCTACACCAGCCAGGGCCGAGAGGTTGTTTTGTTATTTGTTTATTTACAATTCTTTTCCTTAAATAGTGCACAACTTGGGAAAAGGAAGGACTAGATTTCAAGATATGTTGTTTTTTATATGACAGTTTTATTTCTTTAGGAAATGACATTGGAAAATTTTAGAGTTAGTTTAAAAACACCTTTGCCTTTTCTTGACAAGTGTTTCAAATAGCTCGTGTTATTATTGACAGTTATTTGTATCTTATTACCCTCTGGAAAATAATAATAATGGGCTTAAACATGTATAGGATTATATTACTTGGTTTTGGGGGAAAGAAGGGGCCGGTGAGTGTGAGCCTGTTTTTTTTTCAAAATTTGTAAATACAATGGTTTTAAGCTTCATATATAACCTTACCCTCTTACAGTCCCCAGAAGGAAATAAACTCTTGATCCATATTTGTGAGTGAATATTCTTTTAGTGTATTTGTTAGACAAATGTCAATAGGACTTTGAAAAGATTTTATGAAAGATAGGCTTGGGAGAAATTCAAGTGCACATTGGATAAAATCTTAGTAAGAAATTGGTAGACAAGGGTGCAGAACTTGCTATCCGAAAATATAGTACCTTGGCATATTGAGTATTTTAAACTGAGGGAATTTGAGAAAACAGCAGAAGCAGGAAGGTCACTGGGACCTCTCCCATTTTGCCCTTTTTTCCCCCCCGGCACAGGCCATAAAATATTCGTGTGGGAGATGCCCTCCCTCCACCTGGAGGAAAGGAGCATCCTGGGCTCTGAAGACGAAGGGCCGCCAGGAAGAATCCTAACACACAGGCCTTACTCAGCCACTCCCAGTTTACCTCCTTTACTTTATACTCCTTAACCTGTCACGTTCCTCCAGGACTGTCCTGTCTTCATCAAACCCAGCATAAAAGTACATTGGTTTCACGGTTTCTTTAGGTCCTCGTTTCCTTATGAAGAAGGCCTTTGTATCATGTAAAGGTTAAATAAATTTGTATCCTTTTCTGTCTTTGTTAGTTTAATTTTCAGACCCAGCCAAGGACTTTAAGAGAGTCCAGGACAACTTTTCCCTCCCCTACAATGTCAAGACTGACTTAAAAAAGTTGAGCTATAATTCACATACCATAAAATCCACCCTTTCAGTGGTTTTTCGTGTTGTGTATTCACAAGGTTGTGTAAGCATCACCACTGATCATTCTAGAATATTTTCATCCATCCCAAATCAGGTCCCATCCATCTCTCTTTCCATCTCCCTTTCCCTCCAGGCCCTGGCAGCCACTAATCTATTTCCTCTCTGGATTTGCCTATTCTAGACAGTTCGTATAAATGGAATCGTTCAATATGTAGCCTTTGTTTTGGTCTGGATTTTTTCATTCATTATAATGTTTTCAAGGTTTATCCATATTATATTGTAGTATGTATGAGTACTTTTTAAAAAAATTCTCATCCCAATATATGTTTATTGATTTTAGAGCGAGAGGAAGGGAGAGAGAAAGAAACGTTGATGTGACATGAATCAGTTGCCTCCCATTCACACCCCAACCAGGGATCAAACCTGGATATGTGCCCTGACTGGGGATTGAACCCGCAGCCTTTTGGTGCATGGCACGATGTTTGAACCAACTGAGCCACCTGGTCAAGGTTTATAGTACTTCTTTGTATGGCCGAGTCATATTCCATTGTATGCATATACCTCATTGTGTTTATCTGTTGATCAGATGGTGGACATTGGAGTTGTTTGTACTTTTTGATTGTTATGAATATTGCTGCTATGAACGTTTTTGTGTGAACATTATGTTTTCAATTTTCTTGGGTATATACATAGAAGCGGAATTGCTGGGTCATACAGAAACTCTATGTTTAACTTTTTGAGGAACTGCCAAACTTTTTCAAAGAAGCTGCACCGTTCCACGTCCTCACTAGCAGTGTCTGAGAGTTCCAGTTTCTCTGCATCCTCACTAACACTTATGTCCTCATTTTGACTGTAGTCATTGTAGTGAGTATGAGGCGGTGGTTTTGATTTGTATTTCCTTAGTGACTAATGATGTCGAGCCTCTTACCATGTGCTTATTGGTCATTTTTTCTTTCAACTTTATTTTGCATTGGTTTCAGGTGTTCAGCTTTAGACAATCATACATTTACATAATATTCTCAATATTTCTAGTATTCCAACTGGCACTGAACATAGTTATTGTAATATTATTGACTATATTTCCTATGCTTTACTTACATCCCCATGACTATTTTCTAACTACCAAACCCTGTTGGCTGGTCCCCCAACCTCCCTCCCTTCTGGCAACCACCAGTTTGCTCTCTATATCTATGACTCTGTTTTAATTTTGTTTGTTCATTTATTTTGTTCTTTAGATTCCACATGTAAGTCAAATCATATGGTGTTTGTCTTTTTCTGTCTGACTGGCTTATTTCCCTCTAGGGAAGCATAGTACCCTCTAGGTCTGTTCATGATGTCACAAATAAGATTTCATTCTTTTTTGTGGCTGAGTAATATTCCATTGTATATATATTATATGTATCACAGCTTTAAAATTTTTTAAAGATTTATTTATTTATTTTTAGAGAGAGGGGAAGGGAGGGAGAAGGAGGGAGAGAAACAGCAATGTGCAAGAGATATATCAGTCAGTTGCATTTCTCATGCCCCCAGCTGGGGAAGTGGCCTGCAACTCAGGCATGTGCCCTAACCTGGAATGGAACCTATGACCCTTTGGCTTGCAGGCCAGCACTTAATCCATTGAGCCATAGCAGTGAGGGCCGTACCATAGCTTTTTTATCCACTTGTCTATTGATGGGCACTTGGGATGCTTCCCTATCTTAGCTATTGTAAATAATGCTGCAGTGAATATAAGGATGCGTATATTTTTTTTGAATGTTTTGGGTTTCTTTGGATAAATCCCTAGAAGTGGAATTGCTGTATTATAAGGCAGACTTTTAATTTTTTGAGGAAACTCCATACCGTTTTCCATAGTGTCTGTACCAGTCTGCCTTCCCACCAGCAGTGCACTGGGGTTCCCTTTTCTCCACATTCTCACCGTACTATATCTTCTTTGGAGAAATGTCCATTTAAGTTTTTTTCACATTAAAAAAATGGGGTGTTTCCCTTTTTATTGTTGAGTTGTGGTAGTTTGTTTATGTTATTCTAAATACTAGACCCTTCTCAAATATACGAGGTCTAGCCAGAAAAAAGTCCAGCCATTGTTAATATAATGAGAACAGTTTGCCCAACATCAGTGTAACCTGGCAGCCAAGAAGAGTGGACTGGAATGTGCATGCATGAACAATGATGAGTTCACTGTATTAGCCAGTGTGGGTGGTAGACACTGTTGGATGAGAATGTGTACTGTGTGGCCATCACATTTAAAAGGACCAGGCAAATATAGCAATGAATCTGCATCAGATTTTGCATTAAGCTTGAGCATTCCTCCATGGAAATTATTGGATGACTCAAAAGGCTGCAGCCATGGACAACTGGTGATCGGCAGCTTCATCACAACAATGTGCCCGCTCGTGCATGCATCTCATGCAGAGATTTTTGGCAAAGCGTGAAATCAGCCAAGTGGCTCAGCCCCCCTACAGCCCAGATTTGGTGCCCTATGACTTCTGGCTTTTCCGAAATCTAAAATGAAAGGGAAGAGATTTCAGCCTGTCGATGAGATTCAGGAAAGTCCAATGGGGCAGCTGATGGCGACTGAGAGAACTGTGTGAGGTCCCAAGGTTCCTACGTTGAATGGGGACATTGAGGCATCATTGTCCTACGTACAGTGTTTCTTGCTCTTGTATCTTCTTCAATAAATGTCTCCATTTTTTGTATTATATGGCTGAATACCTTCTGGAAAGATTTATAAATATTTTCTCCCATTTCGTGGATTGTCTTCACTATCTTTATAGTGTTCTTCGAAACACAAAACTTTTAAATTTTTATGAAGTCTGATTTCTTTGTTTGTTTTTTGGTTGCTATGCTTTAGTGTCATATCTAAGACACCATTGCTTAATCCAAGGTCTCAAAGATTTATACCTGTGTTATTTTCTAATCAGTTTGATAGTTTTTGCTCTTACATTTAGGTTTAAGACTGAATTTAACTTCAAAGTTAGTCTTAGCTTTACCTTAAAACAATTTTGGATCAGTAGGCATCATTGCCTTTTGTGTGTGTGTAACTTTGTCTTCCCAAGGATTTGTTGAGGTTTTTGTGTTTTCATGGGTTTTGGTGTGTTTGTTTTTAGTTTATTTGAATCTAGCCACTTTTGTGTTAAGACCCAGAGACATAACCACATTTCCACTTAAAGTAGCACTTAATAAATTGCTAAGTACGATATAGGACTCAAAGAAGAAGTTATTAAATGTTTTGTGGTCAAGAAGGTAGCTTGCACAATTTGAGTGGGAAGGTAAAAGAGTGGTCACTTAAAAATGAAAAGAGTTCCTTTATTTTCAGAGAGAGGAGGGAGGGAGAAAGAGGGAGAGAAACATCGATGTGTGAGAGAAACAATTGGTTGCCTCTTGTTCACGCCCAAATGGGGATCTGCCCGTAATCCAGGCATGTGCTCTGATGGGAAATTGAACCGGCGACCTTTCGGTTTGCAGGCTGGTGCTCAATTTGCTGAACCTCACCAGCCAGGGCAGTAGTGTTCACTTTTAAACCTTAAATTAGTTGAGACTGAATACAAAACTCCTGAGGGGGAGAGTGTTCTGTTTTGGTAAAATTAAAAGGAGTGCATATATATATTCATTGACTTTTTAAAACTTGAAATGAGCCCTGGCTGGTGTAGCTCCGTGGATTGAGCACGGGCCTGCAAACCAAAAAATCAAGGTTTGATTTCCCATCAAGGCACATGCCTGCGTTGCAGGCCAGTTCCCAGCAGGGGATGCACCATAAGCAACCATACATTGATATTTCTCTCCTTCTCTCCTTCCCTTCCCTTCTAAAGATAAATAAATAAAAATTTTTAAAAACTTGAAATAAGACAGCAGGAAAAAAGCAACTTTGCAATCTTTTTGTATCTACTTCAAGTACTATACACATGTAATCACCATTGCCAATTCTGTTCATCCTAATCAGGAAAAGAATAGAGAAAAATCACCAGATGGGGTTACTGTAGCTGTGCCTTTTTAAGGGAAATAGGACCTGGCCATGACTCCATTAAATAGTCAGACTACTTAGGAACTGGGTGGCTTTGGGCAAACCATCCGCCTTCAGGGTGTTTACCGAGAGTGCCTGCCTCCCGGCGTAGAGGGGAGGGTTGGACGAGACGGCTCGCTGGCTGGCTCAGGAAACATCTATCAGTAGCTTTTATTGCTTTCTGGGTTAACGACTGTTTGTACTACTTAAGTAATTTGACAGAAATAAGACTGCCTTACTTCTTTTCTCAGTTATCTTCTTGTTTCTCAGTCAGTGACATTTTAGCCCCAGCTTTAAGGAAGTGGTCAGTTTAAATCTTTTTATGAAATCAGTTCTAGTTATTAGCTTGTTCTGTTTATATTTCATTCTTATTTCCTTTCTTTGCATAAAGGTAAAATTGATGTAGAAGTGGCCGTGCTTCAGGAATCCCGAGTTTATAATAAGGCTGCGGGGCAACAGTTCTGTTACGAAAACGTGCTTGTCCCGAAGTGGCATGACATATGGACGCGGATACAGGTAATGGATTGGGCCCCTGGCAGGGCAGCGTCCCTGACCGTCTGTGTTAGTGCGGACTTCGGCACTCTTTGCTCTGACACACAATTTTTTTAAAAAGTATTATTAACAACCTTGGTAAGTTGAGATTACCCTAAATTGTGTTTTCACAAGTAAGCATTTATGCCTACTTTATGTTCCTCTCTCTGCTCATTTAAGTAGCTTACAGTACTTGGCCCTGAGGTAAACTAACTTCCTCCTTTTCCAGAAGAAACTTCTTCTTTCTCTTGCCCTCTACACACACCCCCTATACGCCCCTGTCTTTTTAAAGGCCTTGTGCCTTCTTTGACCTGGAAACTGTTGCGTGGCTCTCAGGATGAAACTCTTTTGCCTTGCTGCTCCTATTTTGATTCTACACAAGATGTTTCATCAACCTCCTGAAGTTTCCTCTTGATAGAATGGCTTCGGTCTCATTTATTTCATAACACCGTGAAACCGGCTGGTAGAGCAAGAGTGTCTGGTCATAAGAAAGACTGAACAAAATGAGTCCTTTTGAAAAGTCGCTACTGCTATGAGCATAGTCACTGACAAGGGCATTTGTTTATATCAAAAACATAAGGGTGGGCTTGTGGTGGATTTTTTTTTCAGTGCTCTCTTTTTATTGTCTGATATAAAGATCATATTCCATCTGGGCCAAATTATAACCAACATTTACTATACTCAGTGATTTGTGACAAAGGATTAAACTTCTCAGCCTGTCATTACGGGAAACATTTTCAGGGCTGTTTATGCCTGGCAATTTTCTTAATATTCTAGACCCTCGCTTTGTATGATCTCTTGTGAATAGCTGCATTGTAGAAGTCTTTTCCTCCCTGTGTTCTGGCCTCATGGGAGGTTCAGATCACGTTGGCGAGACATCCCAGCAGCTGCCTCTCTGTATCACATGCAGTGCTTCAGCCGCTGCATCGCTGTATGTACTGTCGTGGACTTGGATAACCAGTGCCATTTCCGATTTAGATATTTACTCTAATGTTTTTTGTTTTTTTTTTCTACTGTAGTTGTGAAAAACTCCCCTTGATATTATTTGTGTTACAGATCCGGGTGAATAGTTCCAAAGTGGTACGAGTCACCCAGGTGGAGAACGAGGAGAAGCTGAAGGAGCTAGAGCAGTTTAGTATCTGGAACTTTTTTTCCTCCTTTCTAAAAGAGAAATTGAATGACACCTATGTTAACGTGGGTCTGTACAGCACAAAAACCTGCCTCAAAGTTGAGACTGTAGAGCAAGACACCGAGTACAGTGTCACTGTGACCCGCAGTAAGTCTTACCTGTGTTTTTCCCATGGATTCTGTGATGAGAAGGGACTGGACACTGGAGGGTGTAATTAGTGAGACAGAAGTCAGCCCAAGATAGTTCTGTTTTGGTTCTGATTATAACCTGAGTTCACCACTGCTCCCAACAGTTTAGAGAGACTCCACCCCACATTAAACCCTTTAGGCCTAGAATTGAGATTTCACTTTAGATCATTCCGGGTACCTCCTTACCTAGAGTAGTGCAGACTTGCATTCCGAATACGTCCAGCGTCACTGACCTCGTGTTCCCAGAGTTGTTTAGTGTGAGAGAGCTGTGTTCCTGCCTCCGGGCACACCTAGACCAGGACGGATGTCCCAAAGTGCACGGGTCTGCCTTTGAAGACATGAATGGTTCAGCAATAAAAACTGAAGAAAGGTAGAACTGAATATTAATACTTCACTGGTAAAAAGTATTTGTGCAGTGATGACTGTGAAGGTCACTGCAGTTTAAGGTTTTTTTAGTGGAACTGGGAGTTTTCCCTTCTCTAAATGTCTGAGGAAGTTTCACAGAGGAGACAGATCACTGTCCTCTGGAATTCTCTCTGACTTGCCTCTCCTTTTTTACCACCCAGGGTCCTGGGTTGTTGTGGGTAGTAGAAATGTTCCCGGGTTTTGCTACACAGCGTTTTGTGCCCTTCTAATTGTCCTAGAGGTCCACAGTTCTTTGGCCTGGTTGGGTTTTTTCTTTTTTTGGTATTCCTTTTACATTTGCTGATCCTTCTTGCTCCTGTCCTGTTTGTGGGCCTCCCCAAGATTCAGAGCTCTTGAATGTGAGGGGGGGGGGTCTGTTACAGCACCAAGGGCCCTCTGCTGGGGCTCCCTGGTCCTGGGTGCGATGTGTTTGAGTGGAGGCTTTTCCAGCACAGTGGTTGTGTAGCAAAGGGAAGTAAATGGTGGTGTTGGGCAAGAAAAACAGCCAGTTAGAGAAGAGCAGGACGTCCTGACCCAAAGTTCTAGGCAAGTGTGTTAAATCCCAGCCTGTGAGTGACCTAAGGCTTGAAAGCCTGAGTGGTGGAGACCCCTTGTGGGCAATAACGTGAAGTGCTGAGGGCGCTGTGCCTGGTTCTGTGCAAAGCAAAGCTTGGTTTCTTTTAGCCTTGGTATAGGCAGCCAGAATAAGGATAGATCTTCAGGAAGGTTCAGGTTAGACAGAGACCTAATCACACTTTCTCTTTGGAAGGGTGCCCAGGCTTTGCGTGGAATTTATTATGTTGTTTTGGTGGGCTGTTAGCATTTATTTTATTAGCTAACCAGTAATGCCAACATTGCCATTTATTCTGTACAGTAATTCCCCCTTATCCATGGTTTCACTTTCTGTGGTTTTAGTTACCCGTGGTCAACCTCAGTTGAAAATATTAAACGGGAAGTTTCAGAAATAAAAATATTTAATAAACAATTCACGAATTCTAAATTGTGGGCCGTTCTGGGTAGCATGATGAAATCTCGCACCATCCCATCTGGACGCAAATCACCCTTTTGTCCAGTGCATCCACGTCACATACGCTCGCTGCCCTCCTGTCGGCTGCTCGGTGCCGTCTGGGTTAGCGGATCAGTTGTCACAGCTGACTGTCCCTGCACAGCCGTGCTTACTTTCAAGTCACCCTTCGTTTACTTAGTAGTGGCCCCAAAGCAGAAGAGTAGTGATGTTCATGATCGTGCTGTGCTGGAGAGAAGCCGGAAAGTGCTTTTTTTAAGTGAAAGGGTGAAAGTTACTGACTTAAGGGAAAAAATTGTATGCTGAGGTTGCTAAGAAAAATGGTGAGAACGAATCTTCTGTCCGTGAAATTGTGAAGAAGGAAAGAGAATCCCGTGCTAGTTTTGCTGTCACACCTCAAACTGCAGATGTTACAGCCACAGAGCATGTTAAGTGCTTAGTTAAGGTGAAAAAGACATTGAATTTGTGGGTAGAAGACCTGAACAGAAAATGTGTTTCTACTGATGGCAATGTGTAGCTCCAGAAAATATTGAACCTGTGTGAAGACTTCAGCCAGGGATCCCTGACACAAATGGCCACATTCACTTAAGTGGTAACTTTTAATACAGTCCATTGTTACAATTATTCTATTTAATTTATTACTTATTGTTGTTAATCTCTTACTGTGCCTATTTTTTAAAGATTTTATTTCTTTTTAGAGAAAGGGAGAGAGAAAGAGAGGGAGAGAAACATCAATGCGTGGTTGCCACTCACACTCCCCTCCCCCCACCTCGCACTGGGATCCTGGCCTGCAACCCAGGCATGTGCCCGACTGGGAATGGAACCAGCGACCCTTTGGTTTGCAGGCCGGCACTCAATCCACTGAGCCACACCGGCCAGGGTTACCGTGCCTATTTTATAAATTAAACTTTACCATAGGTGTATATGTGTAAGAAAATGCAGGATATGTAAGGTTCATTATCATTTGCTGTTTTAGGCATCCCCTGGGGGTCTTGGAACATACACCCCACAGATGAGGAAGGACTAATATAATGCCTCAAACTGTTTGGTTCTCCTATTAAGCAAAAGTCTCTATTTTTTTTCAGGATTTGACCCCAAACTCTTTCTCGTTTTTCTCCTTGGACTTACGTTATTTTTTTGTGGAGACTTGCTGAGCAGGTAAGTTCCAAGGCTAGAGTGCGGAATGATGAGGCTCAGAACCCCCTGCCAGATTTTTACCATAAAATATTTAAATGCTGCCATTTCCTTTCCGAGGACTTTTATGGCTAGGCTATTGCCTGGTTGGATAATTTTTAAAAATACTTTAGTATATGTGTTATGATCTGGGTTTTTTTTCTTGTATCGAAGAAGATTGGCAATAACGAAATCCCGCTGTTAGGTTGAACCATCTTGTGATGACATTTAGCCAGTACATCAATCACTCTTTCTTTCCATTAGAAAAGAAATAATGCGTTAAGCCCTTCTTTTATTTTTAAATTTTTATTTATTGATTTTAAAGAGAGAAGGAGAGAGGGACATCAATTTGTCGTCTCACTTATGCATTCATTGGTTGCTTATTGTATGTGCCCTGACCGGTGATCAAACCCACAACCTTGACTTATTGAGATGATGTTCTAACCAACTGTGCTACCTGGCCAGGGCCAAGGGCCAAGGGCCAAGGCCTTATTTTCACTGGGTTGTGTGTGATATGTTTCATGCCATTCAGAGGTGAAGAAACAAACACTAACCACTTGCTCATTTCCTGCCTTTAGGAAGGTACTAGCTAAACTAGCTGAAACTGATACATTGCAAATATAAAGAAAATACATAGGTAACTAAACAAACATTGAACAAAGGTAGAACCAACATTAACTCTGTACACCCGTAAAAAGAATACTTGTGGGGTAGTGAATGACAGATTAACGATTATTTGAAGTTGGGCTGCGGTGAGGGTGGCGGGAGTTGTCCCTTCTTTGAGGAGGTCCTGAGAGAAACTCACCAAGGGGAAGTGACCGATACAAAGAGCCTGGGTAAGAGTAAGGAGCTCTCTGTTCTGGGCCCTGTGTTTGGTTTATCCTCTTGGGTAATCAGTTCAGTTCCAGTTTCCCAAGGGACAATGTATTTGTTCCTTTCTTCTCCCCAGAGGAGCTGTAGAGTTCTTCAGAAGAAAGATTCTTACTAAAATTTGGATTGGGAGGGGGGCTGGGATGGGAGTGGGAGACTAAGCAGAGTCTTATTTTGGGGATAGACTTGAGGGGCCTCCTGGATGCTAATCCTCGTTATCTGGGAGCAACTGTATTGTTCCCTTCTCTTCAGTTTTCTGACCTCAAGTTTTGGGTGAAAACCTGCTCTAATCTTGTACCTTTTTTCCATCTTTTGGCTGGGACCGTTGTTCTAGTTGGAACAATGCCATGTATGAAGAATACACAGGTAGTCATGTGACACATTTTCTCTCCACAGAAGCCAAATCTTCTACTATTCCACGGGGATGAGTGTGGGAATTGTGGCCTCTTTGCTAATCATCATTTTCGTCCTGTCCAAGTTTGTACCCAAGGTGAGTGGCAGAATATTCATGTGGTTAAGATGAGCTTGGATAGATGGAAGGGTGGGTTTTCTGGATAATCTTCCAGCACTGAAAATTTGCTTTGATGGCTAAGTCAGTGTCCTACTCTTTCTTAATTCAGAAATGTACTTTCTGTGAGGAAGCTTGGAGCCTGATTACATACAAATGTTCCCTTTTCATTTAAAATTCTTTGCTAAGTGGGGGATTAAAGTCTCCTTCCTGTTTGCTTATTACATAGGCTTTTTAAGTTATTTAGCATCTCATTTTCCCAGTGTTCTTTGTAGACTGTACATTTTAAATGTAAAAGAAATCTTTGTAAGAGATGTTTTTCAGTCGTTTTTTTTTTTTTAACTGTAGTTCCATTTCGCTTTTATGGAAAGCCTTTTGTAACTTGTTGCTTTCACTTCTACTCTGTCTTAGAAAAGTCCCATTTACATCATCCTGGTGGGAGGCTGGTCATTTTCGCTGTACCTCATTCAACTAGTTTTTAAAAACTTACAAGAGATCTGGAGATGTTATTGGCAGTATCTGTTAAGTAAGTGTGGTCAGTTTTGACTTGTTTTTTTATATATTTATAGGCTATTTTAGTTAATTTGATCATGAAATTAACTTTTAGGAGTTTAAAGTCTACACCATTGTATTAATTTTCAAGAATCATAGTTCTTGACTGACTTCTAACCCCTCTACAGTTGTTAGCTTCTCCTCAATTAAAATGATTCTGCTCTGGAGAAGACTTGAACTAGTTGATGAGTACACCTTTCTTTCTTTTTTTTTTTTTTAAATATTTTATTTATTTATCTTTAGAGGGGAAGGGAAGAAGAGAGGGAGAGAAACATCAATGTATGGTTGCCTTTCGTGCGTCCCCTGCTGGGACCTGGCCTGCAGGGAACTGGTCTGCAACCCAGGCATGTGCCCTGACTGGGAATTGAACCACGATTGTCTGGTTCGCAGGCCCGCACTCAATCCACTGAGCTACACCAGCCAGGGCAGTACACCTTTCTTTACACAATAGACATCTTTCTGAAAACCTATAACTTGACTTCATTTGTATTTTAAGTACAATTACATTAAGAAATAACTGTGGCGAATCTGATCCATAAAGCAAGAATCCTTTGTACAAATAATAACCTTCATTCTACCCTTTGAGAGGTGATTAACCTGGATTTGCGTATATTGAGTTTTTTAAACAGACTCTTCTGCTAGAGTTGTTCAGTGTGTAGCAGTGCTCCATCCGCACCAAGTAAATTTGGAACAAGGAAAGGTAGAATTTAAAGAGATAAATATATCTGAGTAATGAAAAAGTATGAATAATTGAATAAAGATTGTGTCCATTTTCCTGGTTTAATTGGTGCCTTATAGTGAATTTACCGCTGCTCCCCACACACATTATTTTACTAATTACAGATGAAAAAGAATGTCTTCTGATAACCCCTCATAGGCTATGTCGTCGCAGTCGGGTTCATGAGTTTTGCGGTCTGTTACAAGTATGGGCCCCTGGAGAACCAGCGAAGTATCAACCTGCTGACCTGGACCTTGCAGCTGATTGGCCTGTGTTTCATGTACTTGGGTATCCAGATCCCACACATCGCCCTTGCCATTGTCATCATTGCACTGTGTACCAAGAATGTGGAGTACCCTCTTCGGTGGCTGTACATCACCTACAGGTGACTGAGGGGCAAAGTAACTGTTGAAATGGGCAGTGTGTGGCGTGGTTGCGGCAAGCGGATACAGAAGTGGTGACCTCAGAGCCCGTCTTCTGATGGATATTTGTTGTATTATTGCTTCTGTTTTTGTTCTTCCTCAGTCTCTTTTCTTTAGACTCTATAGGCATTTTTATCATTTCTAGTCATTTTATATAAAATAAAAGTGTCCAGTAAAGTGTCATGTGTTCCTATTGCCACTAGGTGGTGCAAAAGATACTACTTTTCTATCAAGTGGCTCAAGGCACCGTTTCAGATTATTTCACACTGGCTCACAGATTGCTCTGGGAGTCCGAGTCTTAACATAAGTGCGGTTCGTAGCATGTTAGCACCTCACAAAGTGAGTATGGGATGGCCTGAGGCTGTCAGTAGTGGTTCTGTTACAGAGAGTCAAGGTGATACCTTCAGGTGAGGGAACCAATTTTTTGGGCCACTGTCTTACACCATCATTTTTTGGTCATTTTCCCCGTTTTTGGAAAATAAATACTTTATCATTAATGGAAAATATGTGAGTTTATTTATATTAGTGAATAATGCTGCCTATCCTGACTGGTCACTCATAGTCTGACATGTCAAGAGTACATCATGACTAAAGGCATCTGTGGCAGATGGGTAGGGGCCATGACTCTTAAAAGTTCAGGCTCTCTGCTGTGTGCTTGGTCCACTGAAGGGAGCTAGAGCTAAGGGTGCGTGTAGATTACTGATTAATGATTCATGGTGTTATTTTGGTGAGCACAGAAAGATGTATAAGGCAACAGAAAAGATTGCCCCCCCTCGTCTCCTGACAGAAGAAGAGTATCGTATACAAGGAGAGGTGGAGACCCGAAAGGCTCTGGAGGAGCTTCGAGAATATTGTAACAGTCCTGACTGCTCTGCTTGGAAGACTGTTTCTCGAATCCAGTCTCCAAAGAGGTAAACTCTTGGCCAGATATGTGAAGCATTTGTCAGGGTAATTGTGACCTTGAGTTTTAACAAAGGTCATACTTCTAAGTAATCATTTTATATTTGCGGCTTTATTTTCCTGTTCGTGTATGGGTAGTCCAGGGGAGGGTATGTATATCGTCATATGTTAAATAGTAGCCTGTCTTTTGGATCCTCAGAGATCCATCTTCTCTGGCTTTAATTGTAGCATTGAGATGAGAAGACCATACTACTATATTAGGACTTGCCTCTGATAGTATTTCATTGCTCTTTGAGGGGTGTTTTTTCTCTTTGTTTGCAGGGGAGAGGAGTGGGAGGTTTTTTTTGGGGGGGGCAACTTCACCGATGAGTATATGAAACTTTAATTTGGAATTCTGATGGTATAAAGTTTATAGGGCCATAAACATGAATGAATGTGTGATGACCCTTAATCTTATCAGGAGTACAGATGACTAAGGAACCTTGGAACTTCCATAACTGAAAAGGATAGAATGCTGCTTATTAAGCAGGATGGAGTTTCAGGGGAAGTTGGCCTATGACCCCAGCTTTCCTTTTCTCCTTGTTTCTTGCTTTAATCTACTCAACTGCCAGAGTAGGGCCCGGAGAGGTTGTCTAGACTCAGTATAATTTGAGCATATCAAGGGGTTCATTTTATTCTTATTTTGAAATAAAACCAGAAAGAACAGAAGGTTTGTAATGAATATTATCTTCTCTTTTCCAGATTTGCTGACTTCGTGGAGGGCTCTTCTCACCTCACACCAAATGAGGTTTCTGTTCATGAGCAGGAGTACGGATTAGGGAGCCTCATTGCCCAGGATGAAATCGATGAAGAAACATCCTCCGAGGAGGGGGACTCCGATTCTTGGCACCGCACTGTCACACAGAACAGCTTTCTGAGTTAGTCAGTGGTCGGTTACTTGTACGTGGACTGGCTTGGTGCCTGGAAGGCCTGGGTCGCATGTGTTGCCGTGCAGTTGCTTCTCAACTCTCTGAGCCAGAGGGAGGCTGTGCAAAAACCTGAAGCTAGAGGCCTGAGTAGGCCTCCCTCTGAAAACGATCTTGGTGGTCTCTGCGGAGCCCCTGAGGTGGATAAAGCATGGATGCTTCCCACTGGTTAAGCTATGAGCTCCCCTTCTGTCTTCCCAAAGGAGTGGGGTGGGCGAGGCCCGGACAGCACGCTATCACCTGACTGGGGGGCGAGTCTGCTGTGGAGTTGAGGGCTGAGAACTGTCACTCGGGCTTATGTTCCATGGAGAAATCCACACATCTGAGCCTCCTTCATGAACTTCTGTTTTTATTTCAGAATAATCCTTGTTTTAAGAGAAAAAATGGATTTTTATTTGATTGGCCTATTTTTCAACAAATATATATATATATATAATTTTAGTTTCTTAAAATGTAGGGAACTCGTGTTCCAGAACCAGCAGATGCCCCAGAGTGACAAGCCCCGTAGGCCCCTGCATACTTATTAGTGTGGATCACCCACTGAAGCCCGGGGGCTGTTGCATTGTCTTGGAACTAGTTCTCATCGTACAATATTCTAAGCCCTGCTTGCTTTTAGGAACATGCCTGTGGGCTCTTCCGTAGGGGAGGCCCATTGGGCTTTTTGTTATAGTCGACTTTCAGTTTCATCGTGAGAACAAATTTGCCTTCTTCCCTTCCCATTTCTCCTGGCTCCTTTTGCCTTTTCAGGAAGGGTCTGTTTCCATATCTGTGAAGTTATGTACAATTCAGAGTTTGTTTCATTTCTCATATTCTCTTCCCCTTGGTTTTTAGCGTTACTCCTGCTATTTAGAAGTGATCTTACTTAGGGAATTTAAGTGGTTTTTACAGGTTCTCCATTTTTCTTGTCAGCAAGTCACATGTCTCTGAGTGGCTGTGGAAGCAGGAAGCTGTCGCCCTTCCCTTTGCTTCCCTTTGCTTCCCTGTCTGCCCGTTCTTCCTGTTCCTGTCTGCCTTTCCTGACCATCCATGCCCTTCCCCCAAGAAATCTGGCTAATTTTGTAAGCTCCGAAACTGTGAAGTTTCTTGATGAAGCATACAAGTTATAGCTATGTAGCTGCCACAGTTTGCAGTGCCAGGAAGTAGACCTCCAGGGATCTTCAGGCCTTTGGGTGCTCATTTAGCTGTCAGGGTTTAGACACATTTTTCCATGAATTTGTTACACTTGTTTGCAATTCCATTTCTGACCAGAGATTCATGCTACCTTTTGTGACAGTGGCATTAATTTCAGATTCTTTCGCCATTGGAAACTACCCTTGTAAACCAGCAATGCCATTTATGAGGGAGCAGATTTCCAAGTCTCTGTCATTAGCGGGTTCTGGCTTTGTGATCTTCACCCTCATACCTTGAAAAAACCTGTAATTACTCTGGCTGGGAAGATAGACACTGATGGTAAGAGCACAGCATTAGGCTGCTGGATGACCATGATCAGAGACGATTTTTTAAAAGTCTTAATGACTCCTTCAGACCAGCCATTTAGCAGATAGTTTTGAAAGGCCCTGGGCTCCATTACTGACTTCCAGCCTGTGGCCAGTTTATTATTTCCAGCCATGTTTACCATAGCTTTAAACTGTCCTAAAGTGACAACTACCTCAATTGGCAGCAAACAGGCATATAGTGGAAAGTGAAAAATAAGCAGTTTTAGGGCAGATGCTAGCTGTGGGTTCAAGTTACAGAGTAAGGGAGCTTTATATTGGGAAACTTTTATTCCTTTTTGAGTTATGCACATGGTAAAATGTTCTCTCTCTACAAAGAACTGTTAAGTCCTCTGGAATATACCATTTTTGTCCTCATTTATAGAAATCGAGACCTAGGGTATTCAAGCATAAGTGGATTTGAAAAGGCAATGCAGTTCTACAGGTAGTGTCAGATTCCATCCCCGTCCCGGAGACCTCGGTGCCTTCCCCCAAACAGCTGCTTAGAAAGGTGGTAGCTTGCCCCCAGGGGGATTTTCCTGACTCATGTCTTTATTTCAATGAGAAAGCGCTATGAGTTAGAGAAAGATTTTTCTCTTATGTTCAGTAAATTCCTTGTGAAATAAAGTTTCCATCGCAAGACCAGTTTTTTTTTTTCACTGTGTTTGAGTTTGGGGTGAGTAAAATCAAACTCAGCTCATTACTTCCTGTCTGGAAGCTGGAGACTGAACTGTAGGAGTGGAGATGACAAGGGGTCCCCAAGCCTGAGAGCTGCTCTCAGGCAGTGACTGCCGCTGCCTCAGTTGTGCTGTGCATCCTTGCCCCGCCTGCCTGTGTGGCTCCGCCCTGGATGCGTCAGAACCTCACCTAGTAAACCTTTAGAAGCTGCTCTCATCTCCCTCTTGGCCACTTAGTCTGCTGGCTCAGTCACTACTTGAAGCCCCCGTTTAATTTTCTCAGGCAATTACAGCTATTGCCATTTCAGCAGTCTCATCTCTCAGACTGACCTCGTCAGGAACTATCGAAGGGGTAGCTGTGGACTGAGCTGGACTGAGCCACGTCTGCTGCCCACGTCAGCATCTTGCTTTGCAAATATGGAGCTGTCAGTTGGTGCAAGGGCCTAGGGACTCACTGGCGTCGGAAATCTATTGCCTCTAGTCGGCCTGACTGAGTTGTGTAGAGCATGTCTCTCATTAATGGAAACTCAAGAGCTGACTGGCCCAGAACATTTCTCCTTCACTTCCCACTCAGATGGCTTTCATGAGACCAATGTCCAAAAATAAGGAAAGCTAAGCACCTTTGACATTTTCTGACAAGAAATTTCTATCAGCCACTTTATCTCACCAAAACTAGTTTATTTCTACCCCAAATTCGTGCTTTTTATGTCTAGTATAAAGGATGTTTTGCTTATAATACTTCCATTGTAGTTCCAGTGTTGTACTTTGTGCTAATACATCCCACTCCAGGGCCTAGCCCTCTGTGCGTTAACTGTGTTCCCTTCCGCCTGATCTCTACTGGGTGTATACGACCGGATTTGAAGAATGAAAGGACCCAAATAGACCAGATAGTCCCTCCAGGTCCTGACAAAAGGCTTGGGGCTGGATTATGCAATTACCTTTCATCTTCCTGTTGTTCCAAAGGAAGGCTAGTGCATTCAGACAGATGCCCGAGTAAAAATGGTTCCTAGCTGTGTACTCATAACTTTTCTCTGAATTGAGTAGTGAAAGTTGAAGTAGGAAGAACGGAAATTAAATGTCCTTCTTGTATTCCTTTGGTATGACATATGAGATAATAACCTATATTGAAATGCCAAGAGTTTTATCTGAACCAAGGAGAGGACAATTTGACAGATCTGTTATGCCTTCCTCTTACATAGGCCCTGGAACCAAGTAATGAACATTAAAAAAAAAAAATAGCCATTGTGTGAGGCAATTGCATCTAAAACCTTTTGCTTCTGTTTCGGTGTAGCAGAAATTATTTTCTTAGGGAAACCTATGCAATCGTGACCCAGTGGTGTCTCTTGCTAACTTAGCTCCTGGATTCAGTTACTGTTGAGGTGGATTCTAAGGGTGTTCGGTGCCTTATGTGACCGGAGCCAGAGCCTGCTGGGAACAAACAGCGCAGAGTCACGTGAAAGTGCAGAGCTTTAGCGAGGACGCGAATGGCGCAGAACCTCCCAAAATGTGGATCTTTATGGTCTGTACACTTTTATTAAAACCAAGTGGCTTAAAAAGTGAATTTTATCATGCCTTTAAAGTTTATAAAATGCTGCTTCTCTGTCAGCCAAAGGATTCGACAGCGCAGTTCTCTCTTCCTGCTGAGTGACGCGAGCGCACCCTTTTCGGTGTGTGCGCGAAATTTCCCAGGTTTCTCTGCAACTGCACTCTGACAGTAAGGAGTGCCGAGGAGGATGAAATCACTGTCTCTGAACTTTCCTCGGGTATGGGTGACATTTGTATCGCGTTAACACAGCAGAAAGCTTACAATGTATTAGCACTCTTACGGCCTGCAGTTACCACAGTTTCCCATGGTGGTGAAACAGCAGGGGTAAGGAATTACTGGGCACGTTTTAGAGTGTGGGTAATGCCTTTGTGTTATTTAAAAAATTTTTTTTTTAAGATTTTCATTTATATTTAAAATAAATGTTCTTGAATGTTTGAAAGGAACAAAATGATCAGGGATGGATCTTTGCCCTGGGTCTCGTTTTTACTCTGTAAGTAAAAATATCAATGTCATATATATTTTTTATTTTTATTATACAAGTTTGTGAGTATTTTAATAAAGTTTATAGACTATATAGTGGTTTCCTTTAGTATTTCCTTTGCCAGATTGGGAAGTTCTCCTTTATTATTTGTTCAAGTAAGTTTTCCACTTGTTGCTCTTCCTCTTCCCCTTCTGGTACCCCTATAATTCGGATGTTGGAACATTTAAAGATGTCCTGGATGTTCCTAAGCCTCTCCTCATTTTTTTGAATTCTTGTTTCTTCATTCTTTTCTGTTTGGTTATTTTTTTTCTTCCTTCTGGTTCACTCCTTTGATTTGAGTCTCAGTTTTCTTTCCATCACTATTGGTTTCCTGTGCATTTCCCTTCATTTCAATTAGTTTAGCCTTCATTTGTTCCTCCAATTTGTGACTAAAATCAACCAGTTCTGTGAGCATCCTGATCACCAGTGTTTTGAACTGTGCCTCTGATAGGTTGGCAATTTCTTTGCTTAGAGTTATGGGCTCTGGGGCTTTGAGTTCTTCTTGAGCCATGTTTTGATCTGTTCGCGCCTGTTACAGATGAGGAGAGGAGCCTTAGGTGTTCACCAGGGTAGGGCCACTCAGGTTGCTGGTTTGTGATGCTGTATGTGGGGGTGGGGTCAGAGAGGGAGCAATAGCGGTCCCCTCTGCTGCTTCCCGCTGCTGGGGCCTGCGCGGTCTGTCTCACTGTTCGCTCCTTTGCTGGTTTATCTACACACCAATGTGTTACCCCGGTCAACCTGCTGCCTTGTGCCCTCACTGGGTCCGCCTGTTGCAACCCCACACTTGGGATCCACCCACAGCTGCCTGCATGCCTGGGTCGGGGGATCTTTCCTGCCTGATCCCACTCCGCTGCTGGCTCCACCCCTCTTACTGGTCTGGCTGAACAGTTCGTTGTCAGACTTTCATATAGTTCAATTTTCTGTGGTTTGGCTGCGTTTTTTGTTACTAAAACTTTGTTGTCTTTAAACTTGGTTGTGCCAGAAGGCACAGTGCTTCTACCTATGCCTCCATCTTGGTGGAAGTCCTGTTTTTTTAAAATTTACTTGAGAGAGAATGATTGATTGATTGAGATTGATTTGTTGTTCCACTCACTTATGCATTCATTGGTTGCTTGTACGTGCCCTGACTGGGGACTGAAACTGAAGCCTTGGTGTATCAAGGTGGTCCTCTAACCAACTGAGCTGCACAGCTGAAGCCTCTAAGGTATTTTTACAGAGGTAGCAGGTTGTACCATAATGTCGTCTCAGAAAAACCATGTATGGATTACTCCTTGACCAGGGAGCTACTCTGTACTTTAGTTCTTTAACATCTTATTAATGATAGAAAGTGTTTGTTTTGTTTCTGCACAGGGGTGAGGGGAAGACTCAGGGATCCATCTGTGAAACACCCGACCCAAACTGCAGGGTGGAGGAGGGAGCAGCGCTGTAGTGGGCATTAGGAGCGTGGAATAAAGCCTTCAATTATGTCCAGGCCCAGCCTCTGTAGTGGGAGTCTGTTACCTTCTGTTTTTCATGTTTTACCTTTTTCCTTCTCTGGAAATCTATTACAGCATTTGCATTAATTCTGTACCTGTCTCCTCCTTTCATAGTTATTTAGACTACATGCAGATTCATTGTCCATTTTTCAAAGATGATGAAAGAGAAAGAAAACAGGGTGCAGACCATATGTAAATTTATGTAGATTAATGCACACTAAAGACATCTGTTTTCCTCTATCTCTATAACTATACTAGGTAAATAAGAGGCATAGGTGGTCATTCATAGCTGAATTAATAAAACTTAAAGCATTAACTGCCAGGTGTGCTACATCATAGGGTTTTAGGGAGGATTTTGAAAAAGGTAAGTTGTTTAGACCAATTCTTCTCACGCTTTAACATGCGTCGGAAACATCTGGGGAGCTTGTTAAAATGCAGACTTCTGATTCAGTGGGTCTGGGTTAGGGTCCAGGATTCTGCATTTCCAACAAGCTTGCAGGCGATTCGGATGCTGCTGGGCTGTGGGCCTCCCTTTGAACCGCAAGGACGGCAAGCACCTCCCGTGGCACTTGACACAACATAAGTACTTGGTCAGTGTTACTGATCGATGCCAGATAATTTGTGAGAGACAAGAAGACCCTCTGCCACCAAATGAATTCACCATATCTGAAAACTGTGCTTTTATTGTGTAACATCCTTTAAAAAGTGAATATCCCTGGGAGGACTAATAAATGTGAATTGGTTTGATCTGATTGCTGGCCTCCACACTTTATCAGAAATCAGCACTGAAGTAATCAGATTTTTTTTTTTTGGCCAGCTCTATTGAAGTATAATTTATATAGAATAAAATTCACCAGTTTTAACATTTGCTGAGTTCTGGCTATGGGAATAGCCGTGTAACCATCTGCACCATCATGATACAGAGCATCTCCATCACCCCCAGTAATTCCCCCCATGCCCTACATAGACTAGGAATTTTCGCCGGCTGGAGAGGAAGGTGATATTGAGTCCAATGGAGGAAGGCCAGTCAGCTCCAGTCGCTTCAGTTTTGTGTGGGAAACGGGAGCACAGCTCCCCACGTGTCCCCTTCACCTTGGGAGTACTTTGACCTTAAAACCCAACCTAACTTGGAGGTCTATTTTATACCTTGTTAATTTAGAGTGACTCATTTGTCCCAGTTTGCCTAGAACTTTTCTAGTTTTAGCACTCAGATTTCCATGTCCAGAGAAGTTACTCATCTTAGGTCTCGGACAAACCAAGGTGGACACCCTAGCTTGTTTCTGAGCCTAAGTTTGCCATCTCAGTTTGAAGTCACTTCCCGCCCTGGCGGTGTGGCTCGGTTGGAGCACCCTGGGACAAAGGTTGGGGGTTTGATTTCCGGTCAGGGCACATACCTAGGTGGCATGTTTGATCCCTGGTGCAGGCACATCTGGGAAGGAACTGATCAATGTTTTTCTCTAAAAAACAATGAAAACGTGTCCTTGGTGAGGATTTTTTTAAAAGCTCACTTCTCTTGTGAGCCCACAGTAGACACTCCGTAAATGAATGAATGGGTAGACGCATGGATAAATCCCAGGTGTAGGTGGCTGCACATCCCTGGCTTGGAAAAGAGGAGACCTGGGTTCTGGCTCCACCTCGGCCAGGTTTGCAGTGGTCTAATGCTGGGCAAGTGCTTTCTCGCTGCAGGTCTACTCAGCTGTCTCCTCCACTGTGACGGAGATCTTCAGTCATTTCTACCTCTGATGCTGTGATACTGTGATACTGCTCTACCTTCCCCCCTCTCCATATATGTATGTATGTATATATATATATATATATATATATATATATATATCCAATAAATTATGAAAGGTCAGGTTGATAATGGAACTGCTGATGGGCCAGGCTTATGCAGAGTGCTTCTGCAAAGCAATAGTGTTTGGACCTTGAACCAAGCAGCTGTGACTGCAAGTTGGAGAATCAAGTATCTGTGTTCAGCTAAGTGTCTGTAATAACCTAATTGCTCCTTGTGCCTGCTTCCTGGGAAGGGGGAGGGTGGTCAGAGGGAGCCTGCTGTTCAGGAATTTCCCTGAGTGGGTGAGGGGATACCCTGGAAAATTGCATTTTATAAGCTTATCTATTGGAGACAGATATTTTCAGCTGGGCAAATGCGCAGGAAACATTACCTCAGGGTCTTACACAGTATCCTAGCACAGGATTAAAATTAGAAAGACAGTACTTGGTCTGGAACTTGACTTGGGGTAGGGAAGCGGGGTTCTGTTCCTGGTTCTGTCTGTGGAACTACGGGCACATTATGTGACCTCTCTGAGCCTCCGTGTTTGCCTCTAGTTTTCTTTCTCAATGGAGTGTCTCTACTGCCTACTTCACAGGGTGGTGTGAGTCAGCGTGATGATGCAGGTGGGCATCAGCAAACCTGGTGTCTATACAAATGCCAGAGGTTATTGTTAACTGTAGTTTTTATATCTGTATAATGGGGTTTGATTCATGGTGGGGTATGTGGAAAGGGATTTGGAGATTTTGTCTGCTTCATTCCCCAAGTAATGTCAGTGACACCCCCTGGCTTTCAGGAAGACAGGAAGGGTAGGTTTGAGGGAGGAGCTGACGCTTTGTTAGGAAGACACCCAAGCCTGCTTTCCTCCTCGAAAAAATTTTGCCTTTTTGGAAAAGCTTGTCCTTCACTACAAGTTCCACTCCTGCTCTCATTTCCAAATTTGGGGGACAATGGCACAAGACATCTACTTGAGCTGCTCAGCTAAGGCCCGCCAGGTGCCCTTTCCTGCCAGAGGCGCTGTGCCTGTCTCCCTCCAGTGCTCAGGCCTGGGAAGGGTTAAGCGAGCCACACCCGCAGCAGGAACAGCCTTGGACTTTGTGCTGAGCAGCCGGCTCTGGCTTCTGGTTTGACTGACACGGAGCCCTTGCTGGAGGAGACAGCGCAGAGGAAGGTCAGAAGGAAGAGTGGACACTGGCAAAAGGAGGGCAGCCTCTTTCCTGGTCTCCCGACACCATGGACAGCTCCCGTTAACAGGCACCTCTCCCTCCTGGGGCTGGGCATCCTCTGCCCCCTTCCTGCCAGACTGGGATTTCATCCATCATCCTCCAAGGGACAGTGAAGTTGCACCCTAGTCCCCGTGTTGGGTGAGTCTAGTCTTGACCTGTCACTGCTCTTTCTCATCTTGGGGCACCCAGCTAGGGGCTGGTTCCTTTACCCCTTCTCTGCCCCCTGCCACTCATATTTCCAGCACCCTCAAACCCAAACTCAGAGAGGATGCCTTCCCCCAGCCCTGGTTCAGCTTCTCACCCTTCTCTGCCGAGTTACTTAATGACTTAACTTTTTTTTTAAACCTGGAAAATCTGAGACAAAAATAGTACTGAGTTCTATTTTGGGGGAGGTTGTAAACAGCAAATGAATGAATGTATAGTATTTATTTTTTATTTAAAAAATATTTTATTTATTATTTATTTTTAGAGAGAGGGGAAGGGAAAGAAAAAGAGTGAAAGAGAAATGTCAGTGTGTGGTTGCCTCTCATGTGTCCCCTACTGGGGACCTGGCCTGCAACCCAGGCATGTGCCCTGACTAGG